TATATAAATCCTGAATTATTTTATTTGCTAAATTACCCATATAGATCTGCAACTCGTAAGTGAGCTTACTAAGATATTATTTAGAATTAAACCAGACCTGATTCTTATGGTTATTTTTATATTTTTTATTACCCTCTCTACAGCCTCCAGTCTCATTTAGTTTGTCACACTAGGCCAGGAAGAGAGAAATAAAATGTTCTGTKCAAACAGAACGTGAGACAAGTCTGCACAGAACATCAGGTTTTAGCCTGAATTATCACAGAGATTTGAGCTTCTGGTTTGGGTGATTATCAATCAGTTGTACAAGTTAAATCAAATTTAGGGCTTTTGAGCACCAGCTACTGAGCCCAAATGGAGTGGCAAGCCAGCCAAACATTTCAGAATATGGTTTGTATAGAAATGCAACTTTTTATACAATTACAATGTAAGACAGCAAAGAGCATTGGAAATATGCAGTATCTTCCTATTACAGAGGTAATGACAGTATCCTGGATTCAATGTAATCAGCTATTACAGGATTCTGCTTTTTCAGATTTTACCACAACCATTAACAGCATATCATTATTCAATCAGATGTATGCTGGAATTTTATTAGATTTTTGCTGTCTTATTTACTGGCAGAATGAGGTCTCYTGTTCATACAGGAATGTGCCATTAGGAAACAAATCAACATCACTTTGATTTTACAATTATTAAGTAAACTAATGCTAATTTATGTCAATTTTTATCTGTGCATGGTTAGTATCAGTATCTTGGCATTTAAAATCTCCACCCCAAAGCTGTTGCTGCCATTACCACAGCCTTGCTACAGCACACTTACTGTAAATCTAGTTGACACTGAGGTTACCTTCCCAGTGTGCTACTGGCTCAGAGACATTATTTCCTTTCAGGCAGGACAACAAATTCTCAAGGTGATGCAGAAGAGGACATGGGTCAACACTTACTAGCCTGCTGACAAAGCCCTGGATGTAAGAGAACTGAGAAGGAAGAAGGAAAGAACTAATATATCTTATCTTCTTCTTCATTATCTTCTAATGCATTTTGTTTTCAGAAGAGTAAGTGCTGTTTTATCTGCTCTATTTCCCCCCTTTTTTCAGGTGTTGGATTCACTAGATTTAAAATGCAAAATGTAAAAGCAGAGACTGTGCCTTTTTTCACCTTCTGGTAAACAGAYTAAAAATTCTGAAGATCAAAGATAAATAGGGATAGAAAGTGTAAGAACCAATTAAGTTAGAGTGACGTTTATACACAGTTCAGTTATGGAAAAAAAACTATACTGTGATYATTCAAATCAGCCACTCAGAATCAGAACGCAGGGATTTACATAACGGAGAAAAAAAATTCCACACAGTTATGCCTCAGTAACTTACTGGATTCTTGCACTTTAATTGTATGACTCATTGTAATAAAATTATCCCGCTTGCTTTATCCAGAGTGAAATGTATGTTAGGACATCACCATTCTGAATGATTTGTGTGCTTTTGGAAGCCTACGTTCTCCTGTCACAAAATGTGGTGTATGCTCTATTTTAAAGAGACATAAATCAAGAAAAAAAACTCCAGATTTTCTGTCTGTGCCAATGAAAACTTTAAACTGGCTTATGTACTGCATCATTGTTCTTGAAATAAATGTGTACTAATACAAGCAAGTAGTTTCTTTTTCTTGAAACTTTTATTTCCTCCTATTAAATGCATCCTTTTTTTGACAATGTAAGAGTTCTCTTGTGCATACAAGACAGCAAAACACCAATATAATTTAARTTGCATGGACCCTATCTTGTAGTTTTGCAAAGTGAACACTTAATAGGAATCCTGATATTTTTAGTCATCTAGTACGTCTAGACTATTTAACTTTTGGCATCTATGTGTTCTCCAAAAGAGTAGTATTGGAGTATCTCCAAAACAACAGTATTATAAATAAAATGAATATTCTATTCTAAGCCACAAGGAAGGACCAGTATCTATTCAGCTGGATGTAGTTTGTTGTACCTTCATTTTTGTTATTGTGTATTCCCTGATTAGAATGACTTTTTTTTTTGTTTGTTGTTTTTGGTTTTTTGTTTGTTTGTTTGTTTTTTTAATATAGGCATGACTTGATATTATATATCAGGAAAGAGAAGACTACATAAACTAGACCCCACTATGGCTTGGCCTTTCTAGCCCTCAAACTAAGCTGATTGCAGGTGATCTTCTCCACAACACTATCCTCTTATACATCCACTAAATCATGATAGCTTATCTTCCATCTGCAGACATCTTAGGCAGAGGCAACTAAAACATTTAATTATTTACCTCACACATAAACAACAGAGCACTGAACAAAAATCCTCTCCTAGTAAGTACTGAGATTTCAAAGCCTTTCCTGTCATGTGGGGAATGAACACGAGACCTTTGGAAGTAAAAATGATAAAGACATGAACTAGAAAACAGGTTTGTCCCGCATCTGCAAACTTTAGAGAACTTGCTCACTGTGGCATTTCTCTGCCATGTGCAAGCCTCAAGTAAGGTCTTCAGTCTGAATCTACAAAAGGAAAAACCTGGTCCATGGCCTTGGAAGTGTTCYTAGACACAAACATCTGTGCTGTCCCAACATATGTGCACCATATTTCTCTCTCACACAGCAAGAAACTCCCAGAAAGGCACTATACAAACAATTTGGTTTGTGCTACTTTATATTCTGCTGTGTTCTAAGAGAGATTCTCAAAAAATTTGAAGCCAGCTGTAAGAGGCAGGATCTGAGAACTTTTCTACCACAATTAATTTTTGTTTTTGTAATAGGCTGAAAACACCACACTGAAAGCTCCCCACTGACATAAACTGAACAACTCATGAGAAAATGCTATAATTCTCCAACAGGGAAATGAGGTCTCTTCTGCCCTCCAGCCCCTAATAGTTTGTAGACAATCTAATTAAACTTACTTGCTTTATATTTATGTTAGATTATAAATGAAAAATACATACAGACCTGTGTGTAATGCAGTCCATTCTTATAAGATTTCTTATTAAGGAAAATGGGCAAAAGAGATGTTATTTGGAATATAAAATGCTCAAACATGTCAATGGCACTAATTCATATTTAGTATTTCAAAAAACACCCACACAAGTCCCTTGCCCCATTGTAGTACTATGAATATTCAACTTTCTTCCTGAAATGGCAACCTCCCCCCCAGTATAGCAGAATGTAATATTAAATAGTTCAATTTTTTCCATTATTTAACAGCAGGGGTTTATTTCCATCATGAAGAGAAAATTAAAGTTTTAGTCAGTTCAGCCTGAGAAGGTTCTCCAGATTGGACTTTCCACTTGTTTTCATTGTAGTTTTAGAAGGTATGGAGCAAGGCATTCCATGTTTCTATGCACAGACCTTCTCCTGCACCTTCCAATTACAGGCTTCCTCATATTGGAAGCCATTCATACTTTTGCAAAGTTAAAATCAAAGTTTAAAAGTAAGAGAATATCGGCATAAAAGTCTCATTTACCTTATTTACCTCATTTACCTTACTACCTTAAATAGCATGGTGAAATAAAAATAACAGGACAAATGTTTCAAATTCTGACTGTTCTTCCTCAATGTCTTGTCTTTTCATTTTCCCTCTTTTTAAAAAAAAAAAAAAAATTGTAGTTTTGTTTTCCCATGATGTCATCAGACAACTTCATTTCAATATGGTCTGCACTGGACTGCACATATCACTGATCACAGACCAAATAATGGCACATGGACTTCTTATTTCTGTAACACCTTAATTTTTGCAAGTGAGAATTTTGAGTGACAGAGCAAAGCTATTTGGTATCAATTCTGCAAAAACCACATCTGCCACATTACCAAGATCCATTTTACAGATAAGAAAATTGATTAATATTCTAATTCGTTAACTGACTTTATCAGTCACAGAACATTTCTTTACACAGAGGATAGTCTTCTAAAAATGAAATTTTTTACATATGTTAAAATATTTCTTTGGAAATATTTTACATTTACTTATTCTTTGGAAGAAAAAAATATTAAAGATTGAATGACTYTCTAATGCTTGCTATTAAAGCGCATACACACACAGCCTTCGTCTCCATGTCTACAAAAGTGACAAAATGATCTGCTGGTGAGCAATAAGTAATTTTTCTGTCAGTTAAAAAAAAAAAAAAAGGACTTCTCCTGTATTATATGAAATGCCATTGACAATATTGAATTAGTCCTACACTTGATACTGGCGTATGTATAGTAAAACACACCAGGTTCAAGAACCCCAATATTATCATAAACAGCAGCCCAAAGGTAATGCTTGTTTTTTTGGTTTTTTTTTTATGCAAACAAATTGAGGCCTCAACTTTGAGTCAATACTTTCTAGCACAGACCAAAAGAATCCTGATGACTTTAGTTCTACTGACTTCACAGAAACATACATTTATACTTTTTAGTTTTYTGCCTAGGCACATGAACTTGTGCAAAATGCATCCAGTGGCTGATCCACTAAAATTACTGAATGGGAAAAGCACAGCTATCTTCATACATTACTGACRTATTAGCTATTTTCTTGTTTAAAATCCTGTTTTCTGGTTTCTTTCTACATTTTCTAATCTCCAAAGACACAAAGTTCCCTTGTTTTCTCAATATTTATGACCAAATATTGTTTTAAGGAATGATGCCCGCACATGGGTCATAAACACAAAACCTAAAGTGTAAGTGTTAAGAAATTATTTTACTTGTTGGTCCCACAGGCACAGTGAAGTTCTCGAGTTCCATTTTCAATGATTCAGATCTAATTCATCAGTAAAAACTACCATACTAATCTGACATACCAAGACATGAATTACATATGAGCTAGACTCTATTTTCTCTACTTCAGTTAATTTTGAAGAACTCACAAAACCAGGTTTATCTTGTGATATTTCTAGCTTTGACTAGAAAACATTTAGTATGCTGTCTAAATAAATGTCAAAGAAGAAAATGTCAAGTAAAATCCAGTCTGCCAACAGAAGCTTTGCCATCAATCAAGTTTTACTTACATGGAATTTTGTTCAGTTCATTCATGAACTTCTCTTTTAGCTTAGAAAATGCATCTTCTTTTCCTCCCCCTCCTCCCGGACTGGCTGGCTCGGTGACATTACTTGGAGGGGCTGCTGCTACTGTGGTCGCTGGCGGTGCTGCCAGGGCCTCGTGATGACTTTCGCTCACCATTTTAACTCCTGGGTAAGCTGTTGGAATAAAAAATAAAAAACACAACAAAAAACCAAAAGGTAATATAATTGAAATATATCATCAATAAAAGACTAAATAGGCAGAATAGCACTTGGTTCTCATGCTCACTAGGTAAATATGACTGCATTTGCATATAATTTCAAGTTCTTCATAAAATATTTATTAGACAAGAGAGAAAAGTATTTTGCAGGGTTAATTTCAGCCAGAATAGTTTTACTGCTTGGAGCACTTTTCCAACCGTTTGCATTTTGGAGCTGCCAAATTTGAAACCCCAAAATTCCTGTAAAAATCTCATACAGATTTACATTGTGCTCTTGAACTTGAAAGTATAAGTAAAATAAGGGTCATAAACACTCCCTGTGTGCAAATTTCAATGTATTTACGTAATTATTTTTCTATGAGAATTACAGAGGTGTGGATTATGGACAAAGTTTCTCTATATGAAAAAAAGGAGGTGATAAGGACATGACAAAATACTCCGTGTTTTCCTGTCAAAGTAATAACCTATTGTTTACCATTTAAGAAAGCTGTGCATAAAATAGAAATTGATGTTTGTGCATTTTTATCTTCACTAAGTGAAGACAATTTTTCTTCCAGTTATTTTGTGACACTTGCTACTGACAATATTCACTTAAATTATTCAGATGTCTTAGTGTATTCATGAAAATACATCTGTAGAGAGTCTAAACACAGCCATTTTGAAATATCTATGAGGCTGTCACAAGCATAATCCCACATCAGCGTATTTTTAATTTCATGTTGTTTAATGGGCATTTTGGAACACTTTTACTTGAGCACTGTATTGGGTTTGCATGGCCAGTGCTGGTAGTGGGATGGCTACTGGCTGGTGTCTGTGAGCAGCTGCCAGAAGCTTCCCCCACGTCCCACAGAGACAGCTCCAGGATGGACCCGCTGCTGGACAAGGCGGAGCCATCAGTAGTGGTGATAGCACACTACTCAAAAGATTTCAGAAGGGAAAATCCTGCTGCACAGCAGCTGCCAGGAGAGAGGATTGAGAATATGAGAGAGTAACAGCTGTGCTGACACTGAGGTCAGGGCAGAAGGAGGGGCAGAGGTGCTCCAGGTGCCAGAGCAGAGATTCCTCTGCAGCCTGAGGAGGACCCCACGCTGGAGCAGATGAAGCAGGCTGTGACTTCACGGCAGTCTATGCTACAGCAGGATCCTGGCAGGACCTGTGGCCCTCTGGAGAGAGGAACAGGTTTTCTGGCAGGACCCGTGACCCCATGGAGGACCCATGCATTAGCAGTGTGTTCCTGAGGGACTACATTCTGTGGAAGAGACCATGCTGGATCAGTTTGTGAAGAACTACACCACTTGGGAAGGATTCATATTGGAGTTGTTCATGGAGGACTGTCTCCTGTGGGAGGGACCCTGCACCGGAGCAAAGGAAGAGTATGAGGAGTCCTCCCCCTGAGGAGATGGAAAGCCAGAGACCATGTGTGATGGACTGACTGCAACCACCATTCCCCATCCCCCTGCACTGCTGGGAAAATCCACCATGAAATTATGCCCTGGAAGAAGGAGGGGGAGGGAAGGTGTTTTAAGATTTGGTTTCATTTCTCAATACACTACTCTGGTTTGATCAGTAATAAATTAAGCCAATTTCTCCAATTCAAGTCTGTTTTCCCCATGACGGTAATGAGTGAGTGATGTCTCCCTGTCCTTACTGTGATCCAGGAGCCTTTGGTTCTATTCTCCCTCCACTGCCCAGCTGAAGAAGGGTGGGATAGAGCAGCTTTGGCAGGCACCTGGCACCCAGCCAAGGTCAGCCTACCACAGCCACATAGCGAAGAATTCTGGGCCAGTGGGGTGAAGGTGAGAAGATACATACAAAGAAATTTCAGCAACACAGGAAGGCTAGCTGAAATCTTTATCCAGGTTTTGAAAACACTGATCTGTTTTTTTGTTGCATCTTAATTATTTATCACTGATCTGAATAATAGCAGAAAACCAGAGGGAGAAAGGGCTTGAGAAATAAAAAATACTCATTATTGCACTGAGCCCCAATTGCTCTCAGCCCCAAAAGACATTTGGCTTTTGACCTCTTCCTGAGGAATTTAAACATCAACATAGGAGTAAAAGGCAACACATCAAAATCAAAGGGGCATAATAAGAGCGCCTTATGCATGCAATATAATGAATCATGATCTTTCTTGTCTTACATGATTGTTTTCATGGATGTTGCTAAGAGTGCTCAAACCACTAAATCTAGATGAGAATTGGCTTCTTGTCCTTCAACTTCAGTTCTATGAGTCTGCAGTCGTGTCTGAGAGAAGCTGCCAGAAGAAGTTGCAGACACAGACCTGACTGCAGGCAGAAGGAACCTTTTGAAATCATCCTCACCATTCCTTTCATTAAACAGGGGTTTGCRCACAAGTGTAGTCTGGAATAGAAAAGCCGTTCTCCAATATTGCCATATGATGAAAAAAGATTTTAACAAAATAGGGGGTTGGCCTTGTTCTGAAGAAGCAATTTGGAGGATATTTTGAAGCAATTTTATTGATGCAGCAGTGAATGAAGCAGTATTCCCAGCCTGCCCATCACTTTTGTCCTTGCCCTCAAGTCTCTAGACTAATACAAAATCATGTTGATGTTGACACAGAATATGTACACAATATAGCTCCATAAATATTTCATAAGCATGTGGTCCTAACTATTTCCATGTAGCAACATGGGAGCAGTTCACTATCAAAAGCAGACTAAAGTCGATGGAAAGATTACAGTTAATATCCGTGAACTTTGGCTCAAGCCTGATATCTGTATTTCCCCAACTGCCTCACAAAATAACAATCGGGAAAAACAAGCAGTACAGATTTTGGGTATGAAATAACATGCCAGCTATTCCAGACTAAGAGACTTTTCCCATATGCTCTGATGAATGCCAAATAATATGAAGCAAAACATGCAGAGTCATAAGCTGTAAAAACCATTACTGTTTTATGTTATAGCACTTTGTCATTGAATGTCAGTTAAATCAGAAGGAAAGCTGTATATAATAATTAAATCAAAATTAAATTGCTTAATTATAATATATTGCTTAATTATTTCAGGCCTGGCAGTTGACTATTTTATTTTGCAATGGAAGACACAATTTGCAGTGATGACGTTCAGCTAATTAAAAAATAAGGCAAACGTAATTTATTTGCTTCTAGTTTTGGAACTATATATTGAAAATATATTCTGAGAATGAATTTGAAACATTACACTTTGGTTTACCTAAAAAGAGGAAAAATCAACAAAACAGACTATTCCTGTGATCTCCACGAACAATCCTCAGTAGAGTCCGGGTGCAGTTAGAGATCACTATGTCTAATAAGGCATGCAGAAATGGTTTGAGACTTGCTACAGAACCTTTGACCTTTACATGCCAATGACACAGTTCTGATATTTTAAATAGGTGTGAAGGGGCTGAGAAAGAATCTTGACTCAAAAAAAGCCTTCTGCAAAGACCACATGCCCACTCACAACATCTGATGGCTTTTTTCACTGTAATGCTGCAGCTTTCCACAATAATGGTATAAACAACGTGATATTATTAGAGATGCAAAATATAGAATAATTAGATTTAAGTTAGCCTTTTAAAAAGAGGAGGCTAATTGAATGCTGCAGTGCATTGCTGAAGGTAAAGACCTACAAATCACTAGCAGATTATCTGCCATTCATGAAATGGTAGTTGGAAGCAAAAATTTCTTGTAAGTTAAAAAATGAAATGTCATACAATTCACCTACAATTTCCAGTTCAATGCTCACTACAATGTTTATAGTGCTATGTATGAAATACTACGTTTCATGTGTAACATCCAGTCATAAATAAGAGTACATTTGTAATCGTAAATAAAAGTMCAATTTAATTTACGTGCTTCTATAAAATGTAGCATAGACTACATCTCCTGAGCATGTCAGTTCTTTGGTATACCCCTGCCCATTCAATGCCAAGCAGTGCCATACAATCATTATAAGACATGTAGAATAAAACARTGAACAAACACATGGAATGCTTCAAAATAATACTTGTCTCTATGAAGAAGTACATCCAGTTAAATCCTTGAGGAGACCAGGTATTTAGAGCTTTACTGTTTCCTATACCAGAACAACTCTGACAAACATGAATTATCAGCTCAAGCTTCTACATAATTTCAACATAATTTCCTCTGAAAATGAAGGATTTGAGCAATAGGAATATGCGCGCTAGAGATTTGTGAGAAGCAAGGGATTTTTTTATGACAGTCAAAGCATTGACTGACTGCCTCAGTATACGCTGGTATGGATCCTAATGGTGAGGGTCCCATTGGAAAGCACCTCTTTGAAAGCAGTGACGTAGCAACAACTCTTAGGAGAGGAGTAAAGAGGTGTAAGACTTCAGACATGGATGAATACAGAGCATCGAGCAGATTCTGGAAACCAGAGATGAAAGAATGCGTTCAAAGGGCAACAGTCTGCAAACATTCTGGCATATGCAAAGTAAGATGTGGACAGTGTGGGAAGATTAATGTCCTGGGAAATTTTAAATTTTTATTTTTTTAAAATAAATTGAAAAGTCAGAAAATTAATGAGAACTCAGTGGGATGTCCACATTCACACTGTAGAAAAAGCAAAACTCAAGAGCAGTGTATCACCTTCTAGCATGATAGACTTGCAAAAAATATAAGAACAATAAAACCCCAAAGGTCAGCAAAGGAAATCAATGTGTTTCTATGTGATTAAATTACAGTAGGTGTGCCACAGCAGCTGCTGAAGTACTTCGACAATACATAATCTCATAGATATAAAATTGGTGATGTTGGTTTCAGACAATTTATTTTTGCTTATTCTCCTCTTATCTGCTGAATACAAACAGCATGGAGTGAGACAGCAAACAGGTCAGAGATCCCACACTGACCAAATAATTTTTCTCCCCGTGAGAAATTTTTTGGAAAGCGTCCTTTTACTTTACTTCCTCTTTCACTGAAAGAGAAAGAAATGATGAGCTTTCAGT